ATGTACGTAGATGTGCTGCGGCGTTTCCGAGAAGCAATTCGGAGGAAACGACCCCCGGTGTGGGCAGACAAAAATTGGATCCACCTTCACGACAACGCACTAGCGCACAGATAGTTGATGGTGAGACGTTACTTTATAGACACTGGCACAGTCTTGCTACCACATACCCTCTACTCCTCGGACCTTTTCACCTTTTTCACCTTTTTCCAAGAATGAAGAAGCGCCTGAAGAGACGTCGTTTTTCCTCAGCAGTAGAGGTGAAGGAAGCTACGGTGGCGGCACTGAACGGGGTCGCTAAAAATGGGTTCCAGTTCTGTTTCGAGAACTTTACAGACGTTGGCAAAAGGGTACAGAAAGCCAGAGCCATTATTTTGAAGGTGACACAGCAACAGTGCCGTAACACTCACCGTTCGCGTGCAATAAACCCAGTCTCGAAACTTCTTGAACCTACCTTGTATAATGACAGTGTTGCAAGCCTTAAAAGTCTTATACGCGGAGGGATAATTTTTTAATGATTGACTGTCGGCATGAATGTGCGCGACGGAAAGGGAGTCCTTCGCGAGGTCTTAAATGATTTCATCCAACTCGTACGTTTCATAGAAGGAGCGCTCGGCGGAAGCGCTCGAAGACACCAATCTCATCAAAGAAGGGCACGTATTTTAATATTTTCGAGAACCTACTCTCATCCCGAATATAAATTATATGGCCATCTTCACTCTCCTCGTGAAGGGAATTGGGCCAGTCCATCGGATTTCAATTTCTTCCACTTTCACATTGTCATTGCGCACAACCGCGCGCAGAAGCAATGAGAGCCCTGAGAAAGACGAACGCACCATCGATGGAGTAACCAAGATTTCGCCAAAGCGAGGATCGGAGAGAGGGGGGGCGAGATTTTTCACCTCCTCTCTAACAATCCGAAATAATAACCTAACATAGTCAAAAGGGGGCTGGGGGCTTTGGGTTATGTTATATTCTATCCACCTTGAGTCCACCGTCTCCACACGCTATGCCACTGCCTACCCGCTTTCCCTTCTACTGTACTTCCACTGGGAAGAACTACTTCTTTGAAGAAGAGTCATCGAACACGAAATTTTCGGCGCAGCTGAGCCTGCAATGTGCATGCACATTGGAAAAATGGATTTTTACAAAGCCAAACGTCTCCCACAAAATGTGCCATTTCCTACTAAGTGCTCGCCCCATGAAGATAGGAAGTTTCTCTAATCGGTGGTTCTCTGGTGCAGTCGTTTTACTACAACTAAAGCGGTTTCCTCGGGATGCATTCTGGTTCTTTGTAGAAGCATTTCAACTATTGAGAATTGCTGACTTTCCACATTAACGAGTGATTCTTGCTGGCAAGTTCTTGGAGTGATTGCATTGAAGTTTGACGGAGAAGTTGTAGCCGTGAGTACCTTCTCCGTAACAAAGCTTGGCGAAACTCTCGCGAGAAGGGAATCTTTTCCCCCACGAAATGACTGTAAGATGGCATTTAGAAAATCTGTGCAACAAGACGGGAACTTTCAGACCTTCACAGGACATCTGACCACATTCCATACATCCGTTTGGAGACTAGTCCCTCCCACCCATGCTCTTGGACACATCTCTCCCTTCCTCGTTCCCACGTTGGGCGTGCTTTTCGTTGCTTGCACAACACAATTCTCTGGAGCCACAAAAAAATCGACTCTACCGAGTCGATTTTTTTCATTCTTATTTGGTTGTAATTGTGTTCTTCGTGTCCCTCCCTGACTCAGGAGTCAAAGTGAAGGGGATGAAATCGAAAATGATTCGTGGATGTAATGCCGGACAGATCGGAAAAAGCTGGAAAAGATGCTTCCCGCTGTCTCAGCTCATCGGATGGCACTTCTCACTCTCCCTTCCTCGTCCCATACCAGTCGAATTCTTTGGGGGTGCGGGTTAGCATCGTTGCAGGGAGGCCATAACTTCAGTGTTTTGTCGCCGTTTAACACTTTCAGCCCTATTTTCGTCATGTGACGTCCTACGTCCATAGCGCACTGAAATCACCAGGGCCGAAAGTTTTAATGGATTTAGATACTTTTGTTCCCATATCTATCGTTATTATTCTTTGCTGCCAAAGGGCTCCCTTTCCAAGAAGTAAAGAGACTTCCCATAGCCCCAAGTAACACAAGATATTCCAGCAACGTTTAGGAAATGTTGATGAACAATGTTGCATCTATGTGTAAATGTCCAAAACGTCAACGTTATTCAAATGTTGGGAAGGAACATTGCATTTACGTTGCAAATCGTTATTTATTCATTACATATACGTTGCAGAAACGTTTCAGGATTTATGTTGCTGCAATGTTGATTAAAAACGTTGCTTCACGGGCACCTAATCTGGGTCTATATTGGCATTACGGAAAAGCGTAGGCTTCACTGGTCCTGAACTGGACCGATATTCGACCAATATTGAATTATTTATTTCATCCTTTCGTACATTCTCATCAACAGGACGAAGCCTGTACTGGTATAACCCCTACTCCATGCATAATACAGTATCTGTATCATGTACAGGCAGGAGACAGTACATTTTTGGAGGTGATCTTCCCCTGGATGTGCTAAATTGCACAATACAGGAAAAGGTCCGACCGCAATGTTCTATGGAGTGTCCACGAGATCAATCCTTCGTTTCCTCAGCTAGTACCCAGAATGAGGATATGAAGTATTGAGATCGCAGACTCTCTACCATCGTTTTTATTGTCCTGTAGGATGAACTCGACGAGTTCTTGGAAAGGGTTCTTTTTGGGAATATGAGCTTTTTTTATCTTGACCCCATTAATCTGTCTGGAAAATGAAGATAACAGGTGATGAAGTGTCCGTGTTCATTGATTCCTATAATGAGACAATGTGAGACATATGGCAAAGTACTAGACATTCCTGTGCGGGACTATTCCAGGAAAAGGGAGAAGGGCACTTTTGTGTACTGTGAGAAAGCGAGACTTACGTCTCCATCTCGTGGCAAGGAGGACAACTTTACAATTCTCTAAAACTTCTAAGTCCATGTTGTATCAGAATGTTGTCGCTACGTTGTCGATGTCAAGAGTGTCAACATTCTCTCAATGTTGATAGCTAATGTTGCAATGACATTTGTAGAAGTGTCGCAGCAACATTCCAAGTGAAAACATTGAAGCAATGTTTTCTCAATGTTGTACAGCAACTTGCAACATAGAGCAACATAGGCAACATTTCGAAAACGTTTCATCAATGTACTGTGTTACTTGGGGCCTCATCTTGCCGGGATCGCTACTTGTTTTCGTACCTCTCGATCGCGACGAAACGTCCTATTCGGCGCACATATACTGTAAGAATAAGATTTCAATTCAGACTTTAAATCAGGCACTTTAAAACGAGAAGTCTGCAATAAGGCGATCCCCAATCTTCGATGAAGTGAAATAAGTGCCTATTCCTACCCTTGAAAACAATAGGCGAGCAAATACTCGCGGGAAGCATTAGTTTCGCCTTTGTACACCTTCAGAAAGGTCAATCCTGTCGAGAGGGCAACCTTTTTGAAAGGTGGGGTGTAGCTTCATCTGAAATTCTGCTATGGACGATGGCTTGAAAAGCTAGGTTTCTAGGACATCATGAGACTGATGAATGAGGGGCATAGACGCCACTTTCTTTCATGGAGAGATGGTGTCAGGCAAATCCACGACGATCGGATCCTCATCGAGGACGCAATAACCGTGCTGGAGCAGACCGAGAAGGTAGCGTCTGACAAGAAGGAAAGATTCCCTGAAGCCATTGAATTCACCCCTCCATCCCCATCCATCAGCTGAACACTCGTTCTATGGGTCCATTAAGGTTACTTAAAATTAAACTGTATACCCATACGTTCCAGGCACATCCAGGAGGGAAGAGACGACCAGGTCCAGCCGGTTCAGCTTTCTACCCGTTCCTTCAAGTGATTCCGACTCCATTTCAATCATAGGACAATCAATCGTAATGAAGGCTGCTGAGCTCACGCTTAGGAGACGTTTAAAAAGGGCTACATAAGTCCTGAGAAAGTTCCTGGGATAGTTTAACAAAAACCCACCAAAGACGGAACACAACGAAAAGCATCTACTGTAGTTCATGTGGTCACGTCCTCACGCCCCTCAAACTGAACCACCGGGTTGCTTCTCATGAAACTGTTTCTTCGTTGTGCCTACTACTCTCACAACACGGGAGAAAGTGTCAGTTCATTAGTTGGTATGTTCGACCCTTTAAAAACTGCGAAAGGGTCATTCCTTCCCTGAACAACGGAGAACCTGGCGAGGAAAGAGGACGGGGTGTGGATTCCCGTCCCTTCGATTTTCTCTCTATCATCTCTAGATGTCACTCAGCGAAGAAGGAAGATCTTATTTGTACGTTCAACCGTATTAATGCGAGAATGGATTCCAGGGAGGCCATCCGCCTCCACCCCCGCATCTTGGATACATAAAGGAATAGGAAATTCCTCATTGGGTAGAGTAACGTGTCGTGACTCGTTCCTTTTACAAGAAAGGATTACCTCCTCCGAAAGGTCCTAGGTTTAACCTTTTGGCTGCCACTGAGCCGATTGAACCGATGTGGCATGTCCTGCTAAGACTGCCATGAGCCGATTCAATCTATCAGACGAGATTTGTTTTATTTTGCATGTAACTCACGTTATTGCTAACAGATGGCAGAATCATTCAGTCTGCCTGTTGTCTGATTAAGACATCTGGCAGGGTTCCAGGCTATAGGCCTGGCAGTAAGAGGGTTAATATGTAAATATTAATATTAAAGCTCCTCGAAAATGCAATCACCTTGACGAGTGACGACCGTTGAGACCTTGCTGCCCAACATCGACAAATACTTTTCCGTCTTAGTTGAATCGAAATAAATGATTAGCAGATGAATAACAATTATGGTAAGATGCGAGACCTCAATGATTTCAAGCCAAGGGATTTTATGCAAGCAATGTTTATCAAAAACAAAAACTCTAGATTCTATTACTCAACGAACATTTTCTTGGCTATTTCTTTTCAGGAATCCGATAGGAAGTGTTGGACCCAGGTGAAGATGGTCTCGATCCCTTTTTCCAATCCTCCAGTCTCGTTATTCTCGACGATAAGATCCCAGTCAGGGAAGGAATCCAGTGCACATTCCGTCTCTGCGTCGTCGATCCCTGCAACGAACGTCCACCCGCGATGCCGTCGCAACTCATCGCTTGCATGCATTCGCACGGTCTTGACTCGACCGGGGAAAAAATGTTGAAACCAGGAGACGTCGGAGGGTCGTCTCGCGTCGCTCACCACCCAAATCGGCCTTTCGCGACACGCGTCGCTGTCCGTCGCCAGGCGACAGAAGTATCCGGGATCGCGTCGTCGCACTTCCTCGCTCCAAGCGACCATCTCCGCCCGATACCGTTCTTTATAGTGTCCGTCACCGAGGAGTGCCTGGAGGTCCAATCCGTGGGTTCGGGCCCAGTGGGACTTGATAGGGGAGGAGAGGTGGACGAGGGCAGAGGATTCCCCGATCGCATCCACGAGTCTCGATCCGAGATAGTCTTTCCCCGTCTTTCGCTTTCCGCTCACTACGATCACCAGCCGAGGGGTCACAGCCCGTTCACCCTCGCTCTCACGATTCCCTCTGTCCATCAAAGACTCCTATTCTCCTCTCGTCTGAAGATAGTCTTCCTCTTCCTTCTCACTGGAATCACCATTCTAGGGGTCACACCTTCACTTCCACGACTAGTTCCATCTTATAATGAAATCTTCTAGTCTCATGCACTCTACCGTTTATGTTCCGTCTATTTGGCACGGCTTCCCTGAAAGTAACTGTCGAGGAAATTTGATGGCATCCCAAAGGAAACGAATGCATCAATGACTTCCCTTCGACTTCGTTAAGCTGAAAAGCTCCGGCAAATATAAATTTCGGTTGTCTTTTATATCCACTGCACAAGCAAAAAAGTAATTCAGATATAACTTCACTCACAACTTTTCGTGCAGACGGACAGCGACTTCTCCAAATCCATTAGGGTAATAAATAAAAAGGAATGCATATGATAAGTATGCCTTCCTTCGCAAAACCACTTCCCCTTGAAATTATCTGTCACCATATCCTAGTCATCTGCATCTCCCAGAGAAAAATTTTTTTTTCTCGGATTTTGATGGTAGACCACATGAGTGGTGCAAGAAAGCTAAATGTGAATAGTCGTTATAGTCTAGAGACTAGCAGTGGGATATTTCACGGGACACTTATAAAGGGAATTTGAATGTTCTAACACATGCAATTGAGCATCTAATACAAGTTGAAACTACAGTCCGGAACACAACCCCAGAAGCACACTACATTGGACCAATATTGTCCCCAAGTTAGATCAATATAGTGCCATTTGGAGAAATGAACCAGGCTGTCCTTAAGGATTTCTCTGTTCCCATCCAGGAAGTGGATACGAGCTGAAAATGTTCCGTCATCTACTAGTTCAAAAAATATATGTTTGGGTCGGAAGAGACTCGAAGAAAAAAGTGCAAAATAAAACGGATACGAAAGACTACAGGGTGTCCCAAAAAGATGCATCAATAGTCTAGTATACAGTGGCATGTCCGTCAGCTCTGAATCTTGTTTGATCAGAAGGCCAACTAATGATTTACACTGTACAGTAGCGTAATTGAAAATGTCCACAATCAGCAGCCAGGTAGGTCTCGTAGCGGCGAAGAACAACACGACACACATCAGCTCATGTTTGGAATGGTGGTGCAAGCATTAACGATGCTCTGTTGGAGTCACTGGAGAGTCGTTGGTTTTGTGGCATGCATCTTATCGTTCAGGACATCCCGTAAGATTAAATCTGGGGGTGTTCAATCCGGATATCGTGCTGGGTCCACTTTTTCCTATCCACCTCGCCCAGAAAATTGCAAGTTGCCTTCAGCTTCAAATTTGTCTCTCAATCGTGCAATTGGGAGGCGTGTTGGAGTGTTGCTCTATACTCACGTCTCATGCAGGCTGCACCTTTGCTACGTAAAATTTATTCGCAAATTTCCAGTACCACCTCAGAATCTGCTTGCGCTGATGAAACGACAGGCGCACCTGCGCCATTTTGGCCACACGTCGTGTTAGCGATTTGGTGAAGCGCTGCACGGTCACAGCATCAGTTGGCTTTCTGATGGACAAGATGTCACTGTATGCTAGACGATTGAGGTGTGTAAACATCTTTCTAGGATACCCTGGGTGACCTGCATCAGATTCGTTTTCATAGTAGGCGTTTATGGGAATAAGTTTATCTAGGTTAAACGGATTCGGTGCATGTCACCCCCTGTATTGACCTCTGGAAGTCGTGCGATGATCGAGAAAATGGTTCGAAAAAGGCAGACAAATGGGCTGGATGATGTAGTTCTAAAAACATTAACAACATTAATGGTCTTGCTCGAACAGTAAGAAAAGTTGGGAGGGAAAAAATCAAACAAATCCTGCCACAAAAAAAAGCTTAAAAAAAAAATCTTAAGGAAATCTGAAGGAAGTTTAGCGAAATTGAAACAAAAATCATATGTAAGAAAAAAGTACAATAATTTCCCAAAGCAGAGAGGAAAAAACAGCAGCCCCTTCAAGATACTGTATAACTCAACTTGTAGACACTGTGGATAATGCATGAGTTATGAAAGATGTATTGAAATTTTTTCAAATCAAGTGTTTTGCCATTCTTTTTGGTTCAATATAACAAAAATGCAGCGATATAGGCTGATGTGTCAGTAAATAGTAGGGCTGTCACGATAGATCGATGCATCGATACCACTATCGATAGTTGGAGATATCGATAATTTTTTCGACCATCGCGATGCATCGACAAATTATTTTAAAGGGGAAATGTCCGATGGGATTGAGGCGAGTACTGTACAATACAGTCCGTCCGGGCGGGGAAAGGAAGAAGCGGCGAGACCCGCATGGGCGAGCAATTTCTTATCACAATCAAATTCTGGAAATGCTGGGACTGACTATATGAAAGACGGGAAGGGAAAAAAAAGTCGGATCGGAGACAGGAAGTGGGAAAGGATGGGGGGGGGGGGGAAGCCCAAGAATATTTTTTTTAATCGTCAGTTTCAGTCTCCAGCTCGATCTCATCAGGTGCATGCTGCGGAAGTGGACTGTTCTTATACTCCCTTCATTTCGAAACGTACATTGGTTGATCCCCTCTCTATATTCCTGTCTATTACTTTAGCATGCATGCTTAACTTTCTTAATTTTTAACTTGCCTTGGGCGTTTTATCTCTGCTTAAGGTGAAATCAGAGTGAATGGACATGGACGTTGCTTATTCTAGGGCTGTACCGATGTTTTGGCAACCGCCGGTATGCCACCATCAGCAGGTTTCCTATCTGCCGGTGCCGATGTCCAAAGACAGTGTAGAACGAAGAAAATTAGGGCTATCCTGATGCATCCATCGATGAATGGATGTCATCTTCGATAGTTGGAGGCATAGTAGGTTTCATTATTCTTTGCGAAGGTCACACATTCCCCTTGCACCCCCGATCACAAGCGTGAGATTATGGAAACCGGATAGAAGTCCGCGCTCCGATCGCGGCGAGAAAAGATGGAATCCTTCGGACCCCCCCTCCGATGCATCGATACACTATCGATAGTTTAGGTCGATGCATCGATGTTTTGAAAACTGCTATCATGACAGCCCTAGTAAATATGCACTTGTTGAGAAAAATGTTAAAATTTGTATTTTTATGCGTTTTAAAAATGGCAGAAATCTCTTCCTTTACCAATAAGACACGATCCTATCTGAGCTGTATGCTCCTAGGAGGCTGCAGAAAAAATATGCATTTGCATAAAAATCCTCTCCCTCATCACCAATAATCTGGTGCTTGTGGGGATTATCCCAATACTTCTAAAGGAGGAGCGCTGGGATCGTATTCGAATGGAAGGTACTGAACTGCATGCATTGAATCTGATCCTCCTTTTTAGTTTTTGATCTTTGTTTCCTTAGGTTATGGATAAGTCAAGAGAAAGCTGTCCATATATTACCTCACGGAAAGGGAGGACTGGAGGGGGAGGCAGTGAGTGAGAGCTACGCGAAGCGTGACAAGGGGGGGTTGACCTGTGTTTGAAATTACACCTCACTGATTTTGCTCTGAATTTTATGGGCGAAAAAGGTTTCCTGGCTGCAGATTTTTGTCACTTTTGACATTTACCGCCATTATTGATGTGATTGTCTTGAACTTAGCTTTTTTTTATTACTTTTTAAAATTTACTTGACGTGAGATTGGGGAGTGGGGATGGGAAGGCTGGATAATTGCAATATGGAGTGGCATGAGAAGTCTGAAGTCTCTAAAACATGTGTCGGGTATCATTTGAACGTCCTCCAACTGGAGACTAGTCCTAAAGAGAAATAAGACGCACGAATCTCTTATCTGTCGACTTCCTCATCGACGAGATACCGCTGCTGGTTTACAAGGTACATGTCGCATCTTTCCCATCAGAGTTCATTGACTTCCTTGCATCATATCGTAGTCAGTGGGACCTACTCTGACTTTCCTTTGATGGAGAATTTCAAAGCCAAGGTATCAATTAGCAGCTTTCGTGAAACCTTTGTAAGGAAATTTGTTGTCCAAGGAACTTCCCAGAACTTCTGCATTCTCCCACGAAGTTGCGTATCTGATCACGCGAAGTATCAAATGTCTTCATAGATGCCAGATCAACCTCAGACTTACACATAGGAAAACGATTGGAATTACATTACTGTAATTCCCAATTACTCCTTGCCAATATCAATAAATAAAAACCTAAATTTGGCTAACAAGGTGACATAAATATATATCCAGATAGGATAAGCCAAAATCCAGAAAGGACCCTGACTACAAGGCTAATGAAACCTAGAGAAAGTGAGGAAGGAATTTGAGGCGGCGTCGAGTTGTTTTTCGTGGTGCATGACGTAATTAGAAGAGGTAAATGTATACACCGTATGCAGGGTGGTATAAACTTCCTCTAGGGCTTTGCATCACAGGGGTGACTCTAACACCCCCTTCTACTCGTGCGTGATGGGACTTGCCTCTTCTAATTCGATTCGAGATCGAAATGACATAACGCTAGCATTGCCACAGTATACCCCGAATTAATTGACTCTTTGTCTAGTCATCCTGCTCCCTTCGTCGCGATCGTTTGCTGGATCGTGTGCGATGGATCCCGGCTTTAGATTCCTGGACGTTTTTAGATTTATGTAAGGAGATGAAGGCTCATGAAACTTGCCAAAAGGAGAAGCAGTGTTGAATGCTGGACACAACGTAACCTGTGTTGACAGAACGGAGGAAATCATGGAGGAAACTCTCTAGATGGCTGTCGCGTGAGAGTATGCTTGACCTAGTGTCTGCGTCTTCGTCACAACTATAGCGTCACCTCAGTAGTTGACGTTCCGAAATTCAGATTGATACCTGTGCCTTTAAAAATAATTTCAGCATTTTTACACCCAAAGACAATGTCTCCGGAATACATGGCCATAGAGGAAGTTTTTATGGGATGTCCCTTATCAAATTATCGAGATGGGTCTTCCTTGAGATAAGAACGTAACGTCAATGAGACGCTACGATAGGACCAATTTGGGAGAGTAAATTCTACTTTTGACAGAGCTGCTGAGCACAGCGCCAGAATTTTCCTTTCCCC